AATTCACTTTTTTTATACACTATTTTCAGTTTCTGACGCTCTCTTTCTCAATCTCTTCGGTCATAAAAAAAAATACTCAAAAACCAAAGCCATGAGATAAACGTGTTTCGACCATCATCAGTGTTTTTCTCTTTAGTTGCATTGTGATTTTATTTTTGTTCCAAGAGATCAAAATCTGAAAAGACTTTACGTGCCGAATATGCCAATAGCTTTTATGAATTTTACAATGTTTAAAGCAAGTGACATTCGTTTTAGCGCGGAATGAGATTTAACGATAATTAGGGTCCCCAAAAAAACTTCCTGGTTTTATATCTTTATGGAGACTATCAAGCTTCTTTACTTCACAAAGATATCACCATTGCTACTTCAACCGTAAAACGGTAAAAAAACACCTTCTTCTATTTTGGGTTCAATATTTACTTGCTTTTTATTTTTATGTATATTAAAGCTAAGAACAACAAATCTTTTACTTTGATCAGTTACGAGCATCTCCAACCCGGTTGGCCGACAGGGCTGATGACATATACTTGCGACGAAGCCGAGTTGCGATATGATTCGAGATCTCAAGGGATTACAACAACTGTGTTTGGGAAACGACCAGTACTAGTCTCTTTGTTAGGTTTAATATTTAATACGAAGATTAGAGCTTCTTAACTTCTGATTTCTTTTCGAACTTGTTTTCTAATTTATTTTGAATATTGCATTCAAATAAATTACATAGCTAAATTGCATAACTACTGTGAAAACAAAACATAATATTCAATCAAAATAGACTGGAGGACAATGCTTATGCTTACCAATCAGAAGCCAGAGGAATCGACCAGGGATGAGTAAGACGCATTCTCATTTGTGCTCGGCGAAGCTTTGGATTTGTACAAAAAGTCTAGTGGGCATACGAAAAAGAGTAAGAACATAAACAAATTCATGTATACGTATTTAAATCAAATGATAAAAAGTGTTGTTGTTTAATTACCTCTAGAATTCAAATTAGATAAAATGCATGTTATATTGTTATTCACATAAAAATAGCAAATAGTAAAATGCATAACTCAATATGTCCAATGAACGAATGATTGGTTTCCGCTAGACGCATTATTTTCTCACTATATGATATTAATTTTCAAATTTCACGATATGCTATTACAAGAAAAATCTCTACTAATATGTGTAGGGATGCATGAACCAGCGAGACCGAGCCATGGACCAGCGAGACCATACCATGGACCGACAAGACCAAACCATGGACCGAGAAG